GATTATTCAGTAATAATAACGTAATACATTTGGTATTCAGCCCGTTTTTTTTACTGCAAAGCCAGAGTAGTGGCCAGAGGTCGCAACTGGGTACCCGATACCCCCTACCCGATACCCGGGTACCCGTACCCAGCCGGGTACGGGTACCCGCTTGCAACCCTGGTGCGGCCGGGTACGGGTACGGGTAGGCCGTGAGTCACCGGTGAGTAACCGTTTGTCACTCATTTCGGGTAGGGTACGGGTAGAGGTCGCAAACGGGTTTTGATTCCTTACCCGTACCCGTACCCGGCTGGGTACGGGTACGGGTAAGGAATCAAAACCCGTTTGCGACCTCTGGTTGTGGCACAGCAGGGGGGGGGCATGTCGCTGTGTGTGCAATCCCAATCGAGGAGCATGTAGGAACTGTCGTTGATTTAATTTGGAAAATGCGGACCACAACGCTGGCAACACCATGGCCTCCACTCTTCGAATGTCTCCCCGGCGAAGGGAGAATCTCTTACGGTCCACGCTGGCGCAGACGGGAGCACAATATACAGCCAAGTACGCGCGCAGCATTATCCAGGGCGGCCCGCCGGATTCCAACCGCAGAAAGCCTCTTGCCTAGCCACGTCACCACCCCAAAGTGTACATTCGGGGTATTTGTGTAGAATGGTGATGGTGGGAAGGAAGGGGGAGGGGGGGTGCATAATTGTGTCCATGGTGGTACATGTGACCATGGAGAGGGAACACGTATCCTATGGGACACCCACAGAAAAAAAACCGAGTTGTGAGTTGCAGGGTTTAGTTATGAGATTATACTATCAAGGTTTCACTGCCAGTCCTCACTAATAACAACGTTAAAATCAGGGATTTCATTCGAAGGTTACGCAGTAGTGAGATGAATATAACACCAGAAACGAGGCACAGAGAGCTGGTAACTCAATCAAGCAGTGCAGGGGGAAGGTTACTGGACAATTATAAAGACGATATGAGCAAAGGAAAATCGAAAATATTAGGATTCAAAAAATATTTCCCCTCAGAAAATGCGACGCGGATCGCACACGAGGCGTGACGCGTTGCTGGGCGCGTCAAATTGGTGCACTGCGTTCACTGTATCGTGGCGCGTCTCCGCCAATTAGTTCGGGAACGCCGCCTCATTAAACCAAATATTTAAGCAAACTCCATCTGCCTCAAGAGCTTTTGTGATCTCAGCAGTGACCCGTGCGTTCAACTCTCCCCCCCACCGTCCAACCCTCACCAATGGAAAGAACACATCCGTTCGTTGTCTTTGTTGGGAGTATATTGAACGAAACAGGAGGATTTCGCCACAACTCTGGCTGTCGCCTGATGAGGCCGGTTGTAATGACTGGCGAAACGTCGTATACGAATTGTAAATGTTGTGGCTTTGCTCTCCAACACACAAGCGGTGTGCTGAACTCGTAACGAATTGGCACGTTTTGTTTACATGACAAACTTTACTAATTGGCTGTGTCTGGTGGTGGCGGCAGGTTTAGCAACACATTTTACTGGTAGGAACTCACTGGTTCCACCAGCCCACAGGGGATTATTGTGTCCGTCCGTCGTGCAGGGGGGGCTGGGTGGGGAGAGAGGGGCTGGGTGGGGAGGGGAAGGTGGGGAGGGGCTGGGTGGGGAGGGTGGGGCTGGGTGGGGAGGGGAGGGTGGGGAGGGGCTGGGTGGGGAAGGTGGGGCTGGGTGGGGAGGGGAGGGTGGGGAGGGGCTGGGTGGGGAAGGTGGGGCTGGGTGGGGAGGGGAGGGTGGGGAGGGGCTGGGTGGGGAGGGTGGGGAGGGGCTGGGTGGGGAGGGGCTGGGTGAGGAGGGGCTGGGTGAGGAGGGGCTGGGTGAGGAGGGGCTGGTCACCCCGTGGTGCCCTTATAAAACTCAACGTTTAACCTACTCACACCGGCTTGTGCCCGCCCTCACAGTCGGCCATATTTGCGGAATACACCACGCCGCCGTTGACCCTGGCCATTGACCGAGCAACCCAACGTTCCTACCAGCTCCCTCCGCAGGAATGTGTTAATCATGCGATCTAACCTAAAAACCTCTATTATGGATAATACTGCAACCGTTTGACACAAAAGTAAAGTTTAAAAGGAAGAGTTTGTGATTGTCATGGGCTACTGTAGAACAGTAAGGAGTAAGTAAACAATATTTTTGCAATGAGGTGAAAGTTACATCATGGGCTCCACCATTATCTCAATGCCAATGTTTGTCCATACAATCAGAGTAATTACGTTGCGATGTCATCTCATTTAGGGTATCTCGATTAGTTGAACGCGTTTTTAGAAAATGTACTGTTGAGAAAATAAACAATTCAAAGTTTGGACTTATATTAAGTAGAAAGTTGAAGATGGATTTTATACAATAGCAATTTGGCAAGGATTAGTGTATGGCACCGAGTTGCTCGAAAAAAGTCACAAGTCCTTTTTTACACGGTTTTATTTAACTCACTCTGTCTGTTGTTGTCGTATCCTCAAATCTTGTAACTCAATTTTAACCCACTTCCCAATGCGGTATCGACTGCAAACTTGGTATACTTATGTCATACTGATGACAATGCTATAATCTATCATTAAAAAAAAAAAAGTATTTTAAAACATTCATTTTGATATGTTATGTTTCGGCTTGGGTCTAATTGTCCACGCTCATGGCAAGCCTTCGGCCACTTCCTGGAGTCGTGGAGTTCTGCCATTACTAGTACGGTACATTTCATTAAAGCGTGTTTAAAAAAAAAGTATTTTTAAATACTACTTTTTTTTCCCTACTCAAATGAGGATTGAAGAGATTCTTATCGCCTCTTTAAAGCCCCGAGCCAACTAGCAACACGAGAAGACATTAATAAAGAAACATCAATAAGGGTCGGATGATTCCCATAACCAACAATGTTTTCCGAAAACAATAAAACTTACACGTGGTGTCGGTGTGGTGTCAGTACCGGTGAGGTGTGGTGTCGGTTCCGGTGAGGTGACGGTACCAGTGAGGTGTGGTGTCGGTACCGGTGAGGTGTGGTGACGGTACCGGTGTGGTGTGGTGTCGGTACCAGTGCGGTGTCGGTACCGGTGTGGTGTCGGTACCGGTGCGGTGTGGTGTCGGTACCGGTGAGGTGACGGTACCTGTGAGGTGTAGTGACGGTACCGGTGCGGTGTGGTGTCGGTACCGGTGAGGTGACGGTACCTGTGAGGTGTGGTGACGGTACCGGTGAGGTGTGGTGTCGGTACCGGTGAGGTGACGGTACCGGTGAGGTGTGGTGTCGGTACCGGTGAGGTGTGGTGTCGGTACCGGTGAGGTGTGGTGACGGTACCGGTGAGGTGTGGTGTCGGTACCGGTGAGGTGTGGTGTCGGTACCGGTGAGGTGTGGTGTCAGTACCGGTGAGGAGTGGTGTCGGTACCGGTGAGGTGTGGTGACGGTACCGGTGAGGTGTGGTGTCGGTACCGGTGAGGTGTGGTGTCGGTACCGGTGAGGTGTGGTGTCGGTACCGGTGAGGTGTGGTGACGGTACCGGTGAGGTGTGGTGTCAGTACCGGTGAAAAGTGGTGTCGGTACCGGTGAGGTGTGGTGACGGTACCGGTGAGGTGTGGTGTCGGTACCGGTGAGGTGTGGTGTCGGTACCGGTGCGGTGTGGTGTCGGTACCGGTGAGGTGTGGTGTCGGTACCGGTGAGGTGTGGTGACGGTACCGGTGAGGTGTGGTGTCGGTACCGGTGAGGTGTGGTGTCGGTACCGGTGAGGTGTGGTGTCGGTACCGGTGCGGTGTGGTCTCGATACCGGTGCGGTGTGGTGTCGGTACCGGTAAGGTGTGGTGTCGGTACCGGTGAGGTGTGGTGTCAGTACCGGTGAGGTGTGGTGTCGGTACCGGTGCGGTGTGGTGTCGGTACCGATGAGGTGTGGTGACGGTACCGGTGAAGTGTGGTGACGGTACCGGTGAGGTGTGGTGTCGGTACCGGTGAGGTGTGGTGTCAGTACCGGTGAGGTGTGGTGTCGGTACCGGTGCGGTGTGGTGTCGGTACCGATGAGGTGTGGTGACGGTACCGGTGAAGTGTGGTGACGGTACCGGTGAGGTGTGGTGTCGGTACCTGTGAGGTGTGGTGACGGTACCGGTGAGGTGTGGTGTCGGTACCGGTGAGGTGACGGTACCGGTGAGGTGTGGTGTCGGTACCGGTGCGGTGTGGTGTCGGTACCGATGAGGTGTGGTGACGGTACCGGTGAAGTGTGGTGACGGTACCGGTGAGGTGTGGTGTCGGTACCGGTGAGGTGACGGTACCGGTGAGGTGTGGTGTCGGTACCGGTGAGGTGTGGTGTCAGTACCGGTGAGGTGTGGTGTCGGTAACGGTGCGGTGTGGTGTCGGTACTGGTGAGGTGTGGTGACGGTACCGGTGAAGTGTGGTGACGGTACCGGTGAGGTGTGGTGACGGTACCGGTGCGGTGTGGTGACGGTACCGGCGAGGTGTGGTGACGGTACCGGTGAAGTGTGGTGACGGTACCGGTGAGGTGTGTTGTCGGTACCGGTGAGGTGTGGTGACGGTACCGGTGAGGTGTGGTGTCAGTACCGGTGCGGTGTGGTGACGGTACCGGCGAGGTGTGGTGACGGTACCGGTGAAGTGTGGTGACGGTACCGGTGAGGTGTGGTGTCGGTACCGGTGAGGTGTGGTGACGGTACCGGTAAGGAGTGGTGACGGTACCGGTAAGGTGTGGTGATGGTACCGGTGCCGTGTGGTGACGGTACCGGTGAGGTGTGGTATCAGTACCAGTGCGGTGTGGTGACGGTACCGGTGAGGTGTGGTGACGGTACCGGTGAGGTGTGGTGTCAGTACCGGTGAGGTGTGGTGACGGTACCGGTGCGGTGTGGTGATGGTACCGGTGAGGTGTGGTGATGGTACCGGTGAGGTGTGGTGACGGTACCGGTGAGGTGTGGTGACAGTACCGGTGAGGTGTGGTGACGTTACTGGTGAGGTGTGGTGAAGGCGGATACATGCCGGTGTGCGCAGTGAGAATGCAGCCGTACCTGCTTGATGAAGAAATCCCCATGCACCCAAGACACCAATCCGAAGTTGGTGAACTTAAATATGTGCTCCATTACCCACATTATGTGCCTAATCGTCTGCAAGCACCCACACACACACAGACAAAGGAAAATTTAGTTGAATCTGAGCAAGCACAGAAATTATTTGCACATACAAAAACGAGATCTGTCTTTACAAGCAGAACTTCATGCCAAACCCATGCGCCCCCACCACCACCACCATCGTTATGTTTACACTGCACAGCAATCTTATTTACGTAAGATGTTTGTTTGCATGCTTGCACAATGTGTCACACACACAACCAGCAGACTCGGGGATGTTTGGTCGCTGCACGCATTTTTGTTAAGATTTATTTTATTTATTTGGAGGGTGGAATGCAAGTGGCTTTTTTTTCAATGTTCACCAACTGCGAGAAAAAACAACAATCTAGCCTCTCAAAGGGCATTAACTACCCTCCCCATCCCTTCCCAGATGCCTGGCCGCTGTGGAAGAACAGGCCAACTAAAATCTGGAGGGGCTCTCTATAAGCTGCTGGAAGGTGACACTGACGGCTGCTCTGTGCTTCCAGTGTTCAGAGGCCTGCTTAAGGTGCGGCTCCGGCTGCAGCACGCATACCACACACATGCCGGTGATGTGCACGTCTTCTTCGAACGCTGGGGAGCCGGAAAAGCCCTCTGTACCAGCGTGGACGCCACCCTTGTGTTCACCTTCTGAAGCGCTCGTTCGTCACCGTGGCGTGCGCGATGACCACCACCACCACGTGACTTTTCTTTTGTGTTGTGCGCGGTGCTTTTAGCGCCACAACGCGTCGATTTGTAGCGTTTATTTTTCATTCGTTTGCTGGTGACTTTGTGTATTTCATATCGAAATCGCTTCCAGTGCTTTTGCTGCTGGCGGCAATAAACGTTATATAAAAGTCAAAGTCTATAAGCTGCTGCTTCTAGTCAACGCCCTTCCGCCAACTCAGTGGCGTGAGCAAGCAATAGCAGCGGCTGCACCTCCACCATAACTGCTTTCTGAAAGAGAGTCGAGTTCCCTGATCACAGCGCCACTAATCCCTCGCTTTAATAACACTGGTCAACACACTTTTTCTGGCATAAGGTATTCCAACGGTTTTAAGGTAATTTCGGGGTGCTGATTCCAAATCTGGCATCAGCTTGTTTCTATCACATCTTTTGAAATATCAACCATTTCATTTTCAATAAAAACTGCAGAAGAAAAATATTAAATAAATGTGGATATCTACATAAAATGATATTATAAACACACTATTCTAAAAATACAGCACCATATTTTAACACCTAAAGCAGTCACTGACTCGCAACAACTTGCAATCATAAGTGACGGAGTTAATTTTGGGTAAAATCAATTAAAATGGGGTATGCCGATAGCATAAAAATTAGATGTGATAGAGCAAATCTGAGATCAGATTTGGAATCAGCACCCTGAAATTAGTCTAAAACAGCTGCAAAAGTCCAGGCCAGAAATGTTTTTGTTGTTGACCAGTGTAGTAATAATAACGTTCGACTTGTAACGCCCCACCACCGCACACCGTTCACTCGCACGCTCTCGTAGAGAGAGGACGACTCGGAGGCGCGAGGAGGAACCACGGACGAGCGGCGTGGCAGCCTCGAGACTTGCCGATCCCAACATGTGCCAAAGCACTGCGGCCCTCTACATATTAAGGTGTCACATCGGCAAATTCATGTGCTTTTACATGTGGAAGGAAACCGGAGCTCCCGGAGAGAACCCACAGGGGCGAGAGGGGGGAAACGCTCTATTCCGTGCAGACGGAACAGGTGGAACGCCACATTGTTTTGCTGCCCCCGCCTTCTCCCGACGATTCAGGGCATGGCGTCTCCTCGACGCCCCACGGCAAAGGGAGTTCGACAAACATCCGTGCGGCGATCCGCCACGACCCTCGCTGCCTCCGCAACGCCGTACTACAGGCAGCCACCCGCGTACGTAGGCACCGCCATGCCCGGCTACGCGAAGATGCCTCGGAGCGGGGGGATTCTTGACGAGAAATTCGCGAAAAGTCGCTCAAACGCGCGAGCTGCGAGTTTACTTACGGTCCCTTTGTCTTGCAGGCACATCATGAGGGTGCAGATGTCGCCCGTCGACTGGTGGTTCACCATGACGAGCGCCTGGTCCTCGGCAATGGCAGCCACGTCCGCGCCCCACTCCACCACTGCCGAGCACACAAAGACAAAGATTTACCCCCCATGGAGCCTTTAACACGCCGTTGGGGCAAGCACTGTTAAGCGAGCACCGATGAAGGCCGGCACGGCACACAAGGGGGTGGGTGACCAGCACCATGTTTGTTTGTTGTAGTACAGAGTTAGACTGATGGCCTTAATCTAAGTTGTCTTGTGATTGTAGTTGGTTGTTTGACTTGCATCCCACTAGGATTTTTGCACACAACGTTGGTGTACAGTGATTTTTTTCTGCAATATTTTGCTGTCTTTTTTTGGATTTTCTGTTTGCACTTAGTCACATATTCACTTTAAGATGTCTTTTGTTCATGTTTTAGTTTTTTGTTTGTTGCGGTTGCACCCGATTCAAGAGCCGAATGGCTCAGAGGGCTATACCTAATAAATGAACTTGAACCATGCCCGGCCGCCTTTGTCTCCCCTAGTGCTGACTTTACACATCGCACGAGGTCGTCATTTGAGACTGAGTTGACACTATGGGAGGCCCAGGCCCGATTCAAATATTCGCACATTGTTATACAGGCAGTCCTCTACTTACGATGGAGATGCGTTACGACGACCCCATCGTAAGTCAAAAATATCGTAAGTCGAAGATGGCCTAGCCTACCCAGGAGTCTTAAAGAATGGTGATAATTTAGCAAAACAGAGCAATTTACAGTACCGTACTATACAAACTATATACTGTATGTAAGTAAAAAAAACAAGGTAAATTCTCAGCCCACCTATATGAACTGCAATTTAATATAAATGCGGGAGATGTGGACATCCCGGCAGCATCCCAACGTACAGCATCGTACCTCGTACGCTGCTGCGTTTTTCTGCCGCGCGAAATTTTTTATATTTAACAATTTTGTCGTATCGCTATCGCCATCGTAAGATCGAAATATCGTAAGTCGGACCATCGTAACTCGGGGACTATCTGTATTCGTCAAAGTGCACTAACCACCGCACTACTGCTCCCCACAGAAATGCAGCCACACACGCGTACACCGTTGGTCAATGCAGGCAGTAGCAGCAACAGGTTCAGAGGTTAGGCTTCTCTGAAGCAACAAATAACACGACAAAATTAAGGTAGTTGTAGAGAATCTAAGTCATAAAATAAATACGCAGACAATACGCCCACATCATATATCAACCAGACAGCCTTTTAAAACCCATATCAAACAGAGAGGGTTCTTGCCTATGAACATGTGACAGTTCACCCGCCTAGACTCAAGTCAGCCTGACTGCTGATGAGACACTCTTTGTTGAAACTGCTCCAGAGTTTGCTTGATTTGAACAAATGCTGCTGAAATTATACATTGCCAGAAAGGCAGTGACTGTGGCTGATGGGATTTGTGAAAAAGTACCAATAAAAAAAACATGCTCTCAATCCTCTTTTCACCAGTTGAGCCGATATTATCTACCGCTATCCTCACACACCTTCCACACGACCAAAACATTGCAATGATATCGGCCTCAATTTCACCTCTAAATGGTTTTACAAACAATTTACCATTCAAGCGTTCGGCTTCATGCTAGACTTGAACTGCGCTCTTCATCGCCACAATTTATAGAAATGGCCACGGTTTATATTAACACAGCCTATAGACCGTAGCCTTTCCACACCTCCGATTGACTATGTACGGCGCGAAAGAAGTTCAACATACATACACTTATCGCTGCACAATAGCGAGTGGTTTTTCTTCTACGTCTACCTTCTCAATGAGTCCCCAGTGCTGCGTTTGCACTGCACTGAGCACACAGAAAAATGTTGTGCAGTTATTATCTTAGACCATCAGGATGCTCCTGTGGTGTTAACGGTCAGCACACTGGAATTGCAATCCAGAGGTCAGCGGTTCAATTTCCCGGCAGGGGCAGCTGAAAAAAATTGTTAAAAGTTGCTTAATTCCACCGCCACATTCTGTCCAACGGGCAGTATAAATTATCAGCAGGCTGCATGTGGTGGGGTAAGTGTGGGGAACACCCACCTCTCCCAAAACGTCTACCCAGCGAGGAAGAAGAGGCCAAGTTACCCTGAAGTTGAGACTCTTCCACAGGCAGTGGTGCAAGCAAAAACATTGCAGGGCTGCACCACCAAGCGACGTATAAAAACATAATCTCATCACTGCAACTGAGAGCTTGCTTTATCTTGTGACAGTCTCCAAGGATCCGAACCCAAACCCTCACCGGTGCTGGCTCAGTCCCCTAATAATCCCTGTGACACAGACTCCAATCCCCTACTATCCCCGTGACACAGACTCCAATCCCCTACTATCCCCGTGACACAGACTCCAATCCCCTACTATCCCACGTGACACAGACTTCAATCCCCAACTATCCCTGTGACACAGACTCCAATCCCCTACTATCCCCTATGACACAGACTCCAATCCCCTACTATCCCCGTGACACAGACTCCAATCCCCTACTATCCCCCGTGACACAAACTTCAATCCCCTACTATCCCCCGTGACACAGACTCCAGCCCCCTACTATCCCACGTGACACAGACTCCAATCCCCTACTATCCCTGTGACACAGACTCCAATCCCCTACTATCCCACGTGACACAGACTCCAATCCCCTACTATCCCCCGTGACACAAACTTCAATCCCCTACTATCCCCCGTGACACAGACTCCAGCCCCCTACTATCCCACGTGACACAGACTCCAATCCCCTACTATCCCTGTGACACAGACTCCAATCCCCTACTATCCCACGTGACACAGACTCCAATCCCCTACTATCCCCCGTGACACAAACTTCAATCCCCTACTATCCCCCATGACACAGACTCCAATCCCCTACTATCCCACGTGACACAGACTCCAATCCCCTACTATCCCTGTGACACACTTCAATCCCCTACTATCCCACGTGACACAGACTCCAGCCCCCTACTATCCCACGTGACACAGACTCCAATCCCCTACTATCCCTGTGACACAGACTTCAATCCCCTACTATCCCACGTGACACAGACTTCAATCCCCTACTATCCCACGTGACACAGACTCCAGCCCCCTACTATCCCTGTGACACAGACTCCAATCCCCTACTATCCCACGTGACACAGGCTTCAATCCCCTACTATCCCTATGACACAGACCTCAATCCCCTACTATCCCCGTGACACAGACTCCAATCCCCTACTATCCCCGTGACACAGACTCCAATCCCCTACTATCCCTGTGACACAGACTCCAATCCCCTACTATCCCTGTGACACAGACTCCAATCCCATACTATCCCCGTGACACAGACCTCAATCCCATACTATCCCCGTGACACAGACCTCAATCCCCTACTATCCCACGTGACACAAACTTCAGTCAGCTGAGCCACATGACCACTGACTGATTTTTCAGTATTTTCCCACCAGACAGGCAGCAGATTCATTTTCTCGAGGGAGCACAAAACAGTCGACTTCCATAGCCCAGAGGTTAAACATCAGTTGATATATCACAAGAAGAATAAACATTTCACTTATTATTCCGCTCTCGCTGTCGTTCAATAGGCATGCGGACCACTGCTGTGAATGTGGCTCTGCGAAAGTCAAATTTAGTTTCGACATTTTTACGAAATTAAAATAGAAGGCATAACCTCGTCTGTATTGATGGTCTGCACGTTATACGATTGCCTCTTTTTATTCCATTACATAAATGAAACACGTTTCAGAGAAGCTAACATAAAATCATACACTTCTCCACGTGTGACTCAACAACAGGCCCGTGGAATTTACATTTAAACAGCCAAAACACACACCGCTTATATTGACACATTAAACAAAAGGCTGCTCCAACAACAAGACAGAGTACCGAAAACATTAAAAATTTGATGTGCATTTATTATTCCTTTTTTTGCCGAAGCAACCAAAATGATGGCATTGCCTGACGTCAAAATAATATCGGCATCATCGCCGCTCACATTTTATCACTACTAAAAACACTTCCTTCACAAAAAATAAATGGTCAACCACCATTGGAACCTCATTTGCCAGTAGCAAAATATGATAATTGTTTTTTTGCCCTTTTATCTGGCAACAAAACTGACACCTTTTTTTTTACAAGGAGTCATGTTTGCATTGACCACAATACCTGCAGTCGAAATGCAAACAAAAAACACAACTCTGATAATTTATGCACTGTCCTTGAAATTGATTGGTCCACACCCGAGACAGCTTTCTTTAGAGCCTAGTCTCACATGGTGTTGGACCAGATGACGCCAAAAGGCGCACTAGTAGTTGCCAGATAAAAGGGTAAAAAAACAATTATCAGAAATGGTCAAATTTACTGTTTTCTCCAGATTACGAGAGCCCGGGAAAGTGAGCTTTAAAACTATTTTACCCGTAAGATTGACGACCGCGATAAAATGACCACAGCGGTGCAATTAATTCGACTGAAAATGTTTTCAACAACTTTTTTTAAAAGGACATACATATTTGCCATCTTTTTTGGATTAATTAGTTGGCATTAAACACTGGACGTTGCTAACATTCCAATTACACTAATGTGAGTCTCTAGTTTTTCACGGAATTACATTGCTGTTTCAGACTAGGTGCCCACAAATTGGGACCCCCCCCCCCCCCCGAGGCAATCGAAAATAGAAACGGACTGATACTGATGGCCATCATGCAGCATTGGCCCACCAGACTCAATGGCACTTTCCCCACCACGCATGCTCCGGTGAAAAGGCAGGTACGGTATTTATAAACATCGGACTCTTTCGCCAAATAGGGCAGGGTCAAGGACTTTCCTTTCCCTGCGTGGCCATGCAGAATAAAAATATTTATTTATATTGGAGAAATCCGATGAGCTATGAAGCTCTGTTCATGCCGCATCACCGGTTCTACAAAGTGAGCATGAAACTGTCGCGTGCGTGGCTCGTGCGCACAGACGAGACGGTGCCTTTGCTGGGCGGTCGTCCTGGTACATACGAATGCTGAACTTCTTCCGCACCCTACGTAGACAATCGTGCTAATCGGAGGTGCGGTTATGGAATTTTACCCGCCTCTTAAATCACATTTCTTTTCCCAAAACTGAACTTTTCCTTGGTAAAAATAAATTATATTCTTCTATTTAAAGTTTTCGTGACTGCAGGGATTCATCTTCTTGGTTCCTTCGGTAAAGTCACGTAGAAGGGAAATAATAAAATAATTAAAATTATTATTAAAATAATGCTTTATTTTTATTATTTTATTATTTCCCTTCTACGTGACTTTACCGAAAGAACCAAGAAGATATATTATTCTAACCAAGAGGACCAACGTCCTCATTTCTTTTCTCACCTGACATTTCTCAAGCTTTGGGAAATAGGTAAGAATTGTCCTCAACAGATAACTTAATCCTTCCCCCTCACATCTTTATACAGGGACTCCTCGACTTACAAGCATTCAACTTGCAAACTTTCAGAGATACGAATAAACCTGTCCATATGTTCAGTTGCCTGTTCGGATCGAGATTCGTAAGTTAAACCGCCGCGCAATAGATGGCAGTGGTGGCATCTACATCTGCAGAACGTGAACAACCAGTGGAATCTACATCTGCAGAACATGAGGAACCAATGGCATCTACATCTGCAGAACGTGAAGAACTAGTGGCATCTACATCTGCAGAACGTGAAGAACCAGTGGAATCTACATCTGCAGAACATGAGGAACCAATGGCATCTACATCTGCAGAATGAGAAGGCACCAGTGGCATCTACATCTGCAGAACATGAAGAACCAGTGGCATCTACATCTACAGAAGATTAATCAACTCTTAAAGCGATTCCCCATGTTTAGTGTACATGGCTGTACAACATGTTTGGAATCGACAGGAGTAAAGTTGGACTTACGAACAAATCCAGTGACGAACAAACCTCTGCAACCTAACTCGTTCGTAAGAAGAGGAGTCCCTGTATCAGTCACAGACAATGACTGACGAACATTCCTTTATAGATTTGAAGTTTTCGTGACTGCAAAGATCCATACTTTGGTTCTTTCGGTAAAGTCACGTAGGTGAAAAAATACAATTAAAATAAATAAATTAAATCACGACGTTTCGGGCGCAGCACAAGCGCCCGTCATCAGGTGGGACAACCACAGCAAGAAAACAATTGTCGTGATTAATTTATTTACTTTTATTTTATTTGTTCACCTACGTGACTTTACCGAAAGAACCAAAGAGTATGGAAACATTCCTTTATTATTTATTTACTCCCAATTGCGTTGTTTTGTCATATTCTGGAGTAGATTTTCAATTGCATTAGTTCATTTCCATTGTCAACATTAAGCACATTTCTAAATTGCGTGTTTCTTAAAATTCCCCTAAAACTAAATGGAACGGAAAACATTTAATGCTTTTTGTGATATTACTCATTTATAAGCTTTTTGTCTCCATCAACCATTACCCTCTGCCCATCCAGAAGCAAGCAGAAGGCAGTAACCAGGAGGAATAAAGGAATGGACTCAAATAATTATGATGATGTGCTGTACACACTCGGTTTGCCAAACAAATATCCCCTTATATTTATCACTACATGTATTCAATCCGGAGGTTCCGAAATCCTCGATTCTTGGGTCGTAAAGAAAGACACCACGTGATGCTGACACAGAGTCAATGCAATTGGTATGCCTGGCAATGGGATTGGTGTTGGTTGCCTGGATTTAGATACTGATGTGCCCGATGCTGATGTCTTATTTCCTTTACCAGCAGACAGTTTCAGCACATCACAGGAGCTATCAATGCACCCGTGGCTGTTTTAAGGATTATATTTTTGATCCAGTTGGGAACAGTACACAGACGTCCTATCGCTCACCGAGCTTCCTCTTTAAAACGTTATCATTTCACATTGTTCCCAAATATTTGACACAAACAGCAACGCAACGGGGAAAAAAGGGTGCAAAGTTGTACACATGTGCAAGTCGCCATGGCAATTTGTGGCCGGTAGCGTTCTCCGTGGCAGCCCATGAATTGTTAATCATAAAGTCCACAAATACATCCTGGCAGATACATCTCTGCCAACTGTGTCACCCAGTTAATCGAATGATAGTTGGCACGGCAGTCAGAAAATTTAACGTAATAGAAAGGGATATGATGTTGGTTGAAGGATTGGAAAAAATGATACATAGGGTTTTGTACTTTTCTCGTGTTAGGTTTCGATTAAATAATTATTTATTCTTCTCACCGATCACTGCCGCTCTCAACTCGGGATGTCTAATGTCCTAATTTTGTACGATCGGGCGTGCAAAGCCCTCAACTACGACAACCCCAAAGTGCAGCAGCACTCTATACATCTGGGTGCCCAGCCCAAGAAAACCATACAAAATAAAATTAGAAAAGTGGTTCCACCCCCACCAGGAGCTCAAACCGTAATTGCTAAAGTTTAACACGTAACAGGAGTAGTAATGCTTTCACAACTAATATCATCCATAAGAAGCTTTTTTGGGTTAGATTGTGTAAATATAAATCTGTTGTTAAACCCACCACCACCCGACACAGCCAATTATTAATGTTTATCACGTAAACAGCGTATTCACAGTCGTCACATTTGCAGGCTGTAACCCACTCATCCTTACGACGATGAGGGCGACTGCACGTATATATGTACGCTGAAGTTCTTTCGCACTGTCAACGGGGGTGGGGGGGGGGCGACGACGACACACACAACAAACTAAACGCAACAACAAGCAGATCTCAAGAAATTCGTTTTTTTCATTTGTGAATGCGACAAGGTTGATCGTCGACAATTGTGGTGGCGTCAGCGATGAAGTGGCTCGTGGGCCTCGGTTACAGCCTCCAAATGTGACAACTGTGAATACGCAATCAAGAAGCAAATTTCGCATTCAACCAAAATTACTGGAAAGAAAACTGAAATTGTTTCGCGGATTCAAAGTCAACAATCGCCGACAGGCAGTGGTCGCTGTGCACGGCCACGTTTGAATGGATACCCGCAGAGATAACGTGTCCAGTCGAGGTTTATTTTGTTTAAAAAAATCTACGAATAAACTGTCACGCGTTAAAAAATATATTGAATTAAGATGCCCAGTCTGGCTTATCAGACAATTCTCTTCTGTGGGTTGGTTGGTTGGTTGTGGTCCAACATTGACAGTCTCATGCCATCCCAAAGGATGACTCCAAGCAGGCACGAGCAGTGGCTCATCTCGCCGACCGACCCACCCACCTGTGTATCCAGCCACCCAGCCCCAGGAGGCCACGATGGCGAGGAGCCACTTGAACATGACGCCCTCGAGCTCCCAAAAGAGGCGCGGGCGGCACAGGCGCAGAGGCAGCAGCGCCAGCAGGTAGAGCAGGTAGGATGGGATGGCCACCAGGTTGTTGATCACCATGATGCCAAAGCGCAGGCACATCTTCAGCAGCAACCACGTGTAGCTGAGCAGTGCCATCCCCTGCGGAGGCACGGACGGCGTTGTCGTTCATCGTCGAGCGAGGGGGACATTTCGGAGGCAGAGCAATGTTACGGCCTCACGTCAGTTCTCTGCTGTCACCCCCCTCCCCCGATGTGGAACTCTATCCCTTTGCACATCCGCAACATCGAATGATACGCTTTGGTTTTATCGGTAAAGTCACGTAGGTAAAAAAATAAAAAATGAAAACTATTTTTTCATCTTCTTGGTTCTTTCGGTAAAGTCACGTAGAAGGGAAATAATAAAATAATAAAAATAAAACATAATAAAATAATTCTCACGACGTTTCGGCCACAACGCAAGTAGCCGTCCTCAGGTGAAGAACAGGTCTGTCGGAAAGACAGCAAGCAGCCGTCCTCTTCACCTGAGGACGGCTGCTTGCGTTGTGGCCGAAACTTCGTGCAAATTATTTGATTATGTTTTATTTTTATTATTTTATTATTTCCCTTCTACGTTACTTTACCGAAAGAACCAAGAAGATGAATCCCTGCAGTCACGAAAGCTATAAATCGAAACTATTTTTTCACCTAGGTGACTTTACCAAAAAATAAAAGAGTATGGATCCTTGCAGGCACGAAAACTTCAAATCTAGAAACATCGAATGACTTTCAATAAACATCTAAAGGCCTCCTCTATCTGTCTGGGTCAGGGCTTTCGAGCGGTCCTGAGGCTTGGCTCCACACCTCGGAGTTATTGACGTGTCATTATTATTATTGACTGGCCGCCGTGCTTTAGAGTTCAGTGTCCAATGTGTAGTTGCAGTACCGTACAAAATACAAATAAACACAATCATGATAAACAAGTGCTATCAGCCAATCTTATTATTTCACTTTTAATTAAACACAGGTGCACGATGATTTGATGAATTGTGAAGATTCTTGTAACTTAAAGAATTACCTTTTGACTTAAAGCTTTCGTGACGACAGGAATTTATATTTTCTTGGTTCTTTCGGTAAAGTCACGTAGAAGGGAAATAATAAAATAATAAAAATTAAACATAATAAAATAATTCTCACGACGTTTCGGCCACAACGCAAGCAGCCGTCCTCAGGTGAAGACCAGGTCTGTCGGGGAGACAGCGTCTGAATGAAACACCACCACGCTTGGAGCATATATTTAAGCTGGGTTGGAACGGGGAGGAGGTGGGCGGGGGGTTTCAAAGTCATATTATGCCCGTGCATTATGCAGGATTAGCACCTCCTACGCATTCCACAAGTAGTACTAATCACATACCTGCATTTCCCATAAATATGCAAAATTCCTCTTGATATGCAAATTATTTTGTCAAGGCGCCCTTCCCCCCTTCCAACCCAGCTTAATGATGACAATAGCTTGTGTTGTGATGGAAACGTCATCGTTTTTAGCTAACTTGATATTTATTATTTTAATTCATATGAACCTATCTACGTCACTTTATCGAAAGACCCAAAGAATATTCAAACAATGTTCACCAACTGCAAATACTGTAATGAATTGCTGCATGCACGACTTGATGGGTGTATTGTAGCGATGCTTCAACACATGCCTACTAAGATGTGAAGCAGACAGGTGCCGGCTTTTGCTAACAATCTGCTGTTGAAAACCTGCGAAAACGGCTTTGGAAAGCTCGCAACCAGCATAGATTCACCCTGTAAAGTAAATTCATAAACCAGTGTGTAAAATATGTATTTTACAAGTACAGTCACACCTCGGTCTACGACCGCTTTGGAATACGTCGAGTTTGGTACACGTCGTGTTTTGACGAGGAAAAAATGTCTTGGGATACGACGTCTTGCTTGGGATACGACGCGCTTGCTAGAACTTGTATGGGTCGGGATGAGTCACCGCGTACCCGCCGCGTAGACTCCGTTCACGACTCCTCCTCTTCCTCACCACCATCCTCGTAGGCCATCAACTCCTCTCAGAAAGGTAAAGTGACGTCACATTTTATTTTATTTAAATTTATTTAAATTTATTTATGCATTTATTTTTTTACGTATGCATTTTAGTAATAAGTAGTGTCTAAATTATCTTATACAACCCCATTAATGTATAATATGCCATATAAAATATAATTTCTTACATTCTGGAACGGATTATTTCCTTTCCCTTTATTTCTTATGGGAAAAATCCGTTTGGTTTTCATCATTTTCGGTATAAGTCCTCCTACCTTCTGGAACGAATTAACGACGTATACCGAGGTGCCACTGCACTTGAAAAGTCAACTCCCCAATGTACGAATGTAAAGCAACAACTTAACAAATACTGTACGACAAAAATAACTCTCCAAATTCAGATAACTTAAATGTTTACTATCAACGTATAAAATATAATGTCCATGTATGCGTGCTTAATGTGTTTCCTATTGCATAAAATGAGCCAGTTTAACAATGGAGTGTTCCCTGAAACATTAGCACGGTTGTCTATGTACGGTGCGAAAAAAGTTCTTCAACATACAAAACAAAATAAAGATCCCCCATATAGCCTAAACAGACTGTTGGGCCAAGTACTGTTAACGAACACCTATGAAGGCCGGCATGGCACACGAGGGGGTGGGTGGTCAACACCATGCCCGACCGCCTTTGTCTCTCCAGTGGAAATGTTTACACAACGCACTGGGTACTCATTTGAGGCTGAGTCAACCTAGGGTAGGCCCAGGACCGGTTCAGATAATAGTCACTGGTGTTGGCCGTGAGCCGGGAGTAAGATTCAGGTTGTCAGATTAATTAATAGTACAGTGTTGCTAAACACTCTTCCACTGCTTCCTCTTCTGCCGATCATCATAAGAAATTCCACAGAAACTTTCCAGATGCCCTGTATGTACCATTCAGAAAGCCTCTCTCTGTTTTATTCAAACACAGACATCACAATGAAGCAGAAAACATTGTTCAACCAAGTACAGAAAATGCCAGGGCGGGTATGGATTCTCACAGCTGCTCTTGCGTACGCGTCCAATACAAACCTTTATCACTGCGCGCGCTGTGCAATGTATGATGAACGCAAGGACAGGAAGTGACTGGCACAATTCACTTCCTTCTGCTAAACTGGCACAGTTATTGTTGAGACATAACCCCAATTTCTTTGCCCCCACACACACATCACAATGTACGCAAAAAGGCACACACGAATACAAAAAGACAAAGGTACGGATCCCCATATAGCCTTCAACAGACTGTTAGGGCAAGTGGTGTTATCGAGCGGATCTTAAAGCCGATACAGCAGCACATGATTACATTGCGTGGCCAACATTACACCCGGCTGGCTGCCTTTATATGCCCAATTCTGACGTTTCCATTTCACACTGGGTACTTATTTAAGGATAATTTAAGGCTGAGTCAAACTTAGGGAGGCACAGTAAGAGTTCCAATACCACTGCTTTTTGACGTGGCCAGGAATCAAACCTAAGGCCATGTGAAGTGTTGATGGCCTGCTTGCAGAAAGGTCACGGGACAGACCCAGGTGCCATGGGTATCACAGTACGCAAACTATTACACTATTACACCACCACTCCTCAAATACAAAAGATACACGCACGCACACGCACACACACGTGAAAGAGCTGATTGTAATTGTTATCCTCAAGTTGACCGTTTGTTAAGGAGTGAGAAATTTTCGAGGAAAAGTAAATGCCCCAGTGTATTTCCCCTGGTCACACTTGTGCATTAAGCAAATGTACATTACACGCACTGGGGGTGGATGGGCCGGGTATCTAATTTCCAAAAAATATTCATTGGTTTTTTCGGTAAAGTCACGTATGTAGAAATAAAAAAAAATTTAACTAAATAAAGTTCAACTAAAATAAATCACGACGTTTCAAACGCAACACAAGCGATCATCGTCAGGTGGAAATGGGGTAAAACACACAGCGAGGGAACGCACAGGGAGACATCACGCAACTAGCACATAGAGAACGGTAAACTGCACGGAGGCAAATACAAGAAGAAGATGAGAGACGAGAACTCAACAAACCTTAAAAACACAATGTGATGCAAAACCAGTCGGCCAACAACACAGTTAGACACTAACCTGGTTGACCACGTATTTCAAAAGACTGCTAAATTTCGTGTTCATCTTCTGGGCTGAACATACCAACGTAGACAAGAGTGAACAGATATGAGGGACAAGGTAGCAGAGATACATACACAGAGAAGAACATCCAGGGAAAGATGCTTTGGGCAGCACAGAGGGACAACCAGAGTAACACCACACCAAGAGACATACACACGTGGAGAGGCACACACAGAAAGACGCCTGGAGGGATAACGTACAGGGACTTACAGAGGCTGTAGAGTATAGTCATCTCTGCAGTCACGAAAGCTTCAATTGTATTCCAAAAAATACGTTGCAAAAATAAAGAGCAGCTAAAGAAGCAGATCTCGGTGTTCATTATTGGAGAGATAATTTTTTTCATGTTTTCCAACCGAGGGTTTATTGAGATAAATGTAACTCATTCTCACAGTCGACTTAAGAGAAGGGGCAGGAGAATGAATCGTCGCAGCACAAACGGTTTGGGGATGTCACGCGACTCCAATCTTCAGTCACTGCACCAAATTTGCAAAACAAATCACGGGACGCAAAGACACCCCCAACAATAATGGGACAGGGCTCTCTCTGTGCCGTCCTGAATCTCTCAGCGTTGGCCTGCTGCTGCCTCTTAACCAGTTGAGCGCACACAGTGTGCGATGTATAAGCAGGGAGAGAAATAACCGAGGTGGATATTTCCTTCAGCTGAACCGGTACGATTATTTGCAGTGGCCAAGTATAACATTTCTTAACAAGGGAGGAACTCAAACCCAAAATTAATTGTTTTCATATTCCGTGCGTATGCGGGCTGAACATCAAACCCACTGTAGGGCCTTTCAAGTGGTATTGAATTCAAAGTTCTTTAGTTAAACAAGGAAGAAGAATCATGCATGCGCACGGTTTATGCAACACCCTTTCCAATGTGTGTATGCCCTCGCACGTAATCAGTCAGGGAACACGACATCGTGGTTCAGGTCACG